AGACACTACCCTTTTCTACATGGTCACAATTCCATGACTTGGGGTTATCTTCGTAAAATGAGCTGTCTGCAGAGCACCTAGGGGTGCACTAGGGTATCTCGCCCTTGGCGCTACGGACATTTTGGGGGCAGACAATTCTTTCTTGGGTATTTGGAGGGGGTTTAGCGGCAGAGCTGACCTCTACTCACCAGATGCCCATGGCACTGCCCCGCCCCCAAGTCGTAACAAAAATCTCTCAAGACACTGTCAAATGTCCCCTGGGCAGGGCTGGTGAATTCACCCCCAGTTGCGAGCTGCTGGTTTTGTCTGAGGCTTTAGCTCAGCAGAACATGAGCCAGCCAATTAGCTAATGGTAACTGTTAGCCAGATTTCTCACATAAGTCCCCATTATCAGTGCCGCATTATAAGATCCAAAGTTCCTTTGACCCTGGCGAGACGCGCTGGACATCTGTTTGACGGGCCAGCTCCAAATTAGAGCACTTTCTCCCCCCAATCCCGCCCCCCCCCCACTTCCTGCCAGTCCTTTCCTTTCACCCTGGCCTGATAAGGTAATTCCTTATTCATCTTGACATTCTAATGACACGAAGGCACTTCTGAAGGCGCTCGAAGGAGCTAGTGGTTTAATTGGTTCTAAGGAAAACTGGCATTATTTTTATAGGAATCCAGATATAATATGCAAAATGTTCCGAACGCTATCACTGCAGTCTCTGAGCTTGTAACACTTTCTCAACTGTGAGCTCTCGGCTCCTGAGCTTGAACCTCACCTCCAGAGAGAGCCCTCCCTGAACAAGGTCCTCTGCGGTGCCCAGCTGCCCCTGCTTACAAAACTGTTTGTCCTATTGCTGTTCACTTACTACTACCTGAAATTATTTGTTCAGAAATTTCACGGACTCCCGCAACCAGAACGGGCACTCCATGGGCAAGGAACCTCCTGTCCGGTCCACGGCTGTATCTTTAGCATCTCGCACAAGGCCTGGCCCCAGAACTACTGGAATAAGCAAACGGATGAATGAATTTGCATAGGCATAATTTCTAAAGTATTAATTTCATTCTACCCACTTCTCATTTTCTTCCTGAGCTTCGCTCACTATCCTCATGGTCCCAGCATCATCTTTAAAGAAAGTGAATATAGTTAACTCCCTCCTCTTATACTCCCCGTTAGCTGATCGAAGACATTCAAGTACCTGGTGGGTTGGTGAACACCGAGTAATCAGGAGTTTTCCTCCTGATGCCCTTGATCTTCAGGTCCTGAGAGAAATCTCCACGTAAACGAAGGCTTGCTCCCTTCTAAGCACAGCCAACTTCACAAATACCCAGATTGACAAATCTTTGCTCTAACTAAGAGTTCCTTCATTACAACTCCCAGGGCATCTATTTGAATAGAGGCTATTAACTAATTGACGGTGAAGCTGTTCAGTGCGGGGGGCAGGGGAGGTGTGCAGAATGGAGGGATAAGGCAGGCAGAGAGGCTAAAATTAAATGACAAGAGGCCTTGCCAAATTGGAATAGATTCAGAAATGATAAACCATCTTGGGGATCAATGACAAAGAATGAATCAAATAATGAGCATTTAAATTTGTCAAAATGCTATTGATGCGCAAGGAGAGGTTTCATCTTTGTTTTAAAATAAATTTTCTACAGGCTCTGCTGCCTAAACCATTTTATCTACAAGCCTCGTGGCAACCTATCTGTCAAAGAATTACTTGCTGTGCAAAACATTATATGTATTTATCTACATATCTGCTCACCTATCATCCATCTGCCTCTCCACCTATTTATCTAAGTACTTCTGGGGATATTTGTGCAAAGCATCCATCTATCTATCTAGACCATCCATCTATCTATCTAGACCCGGTTGTATACATCAAGTCCCTCCCTTCCAGCTTTGCCTGAGCTATTTCAAGTCAAGGCAACCTTTTTTTCTGGAAAAATAAGAGGTTGAAAAGATAGATTCTGGGATCTTCTGACCCTGAGTTTGACACTCATCAATGCTCTGAGCTTCCAGGGTGACCCTGGGCAAGTTACTTAACCTCTCTGACCCTTAGGTTCCTCATCTGGAAAATGGATATCATGAGAACACCTACGGAATGACGGCATCTGGGACTCAACGGGAGGAGCCAGTTCTTGGCAAACGGGAAACATCAGTGCCAGGGAGGGGATCATGGGAATGCTGCCAAACACATTCCAACTCCTTTCACATGTGCTTTTTCATCTCTCGGTCCCCTGGTTCCTGGGTAACCACCATCAGGGCTTCCTTGGTACACCCCAGGGGCAGCCCGTTGAGGGAAGGCTGACACCAGGGATTTAAACCTTCCTAGGCTTCCTCCTTCCTATTAATCTGGCCATTAAGCAGAGCGGATTCTGCTGACGCCAACACACGCAGAGGTCTGCGATGCTCCAGCCAACAAGCAGCAGAGGAGTCCTTAGCAGCCCAGCCGTCTATCTCCCTGACCTCCAAACGGCTGCACGAGAACAGATGTGCCAAGGACTGGGCGAGGACCCCACGCATGCACGGAGGGAAGGGGCCCTGCGAGGGCTGAGCCACAGACACGTGACGTACAACCACAGCTCACAGTGAACTCTGAAAGACAGGCCTCCCCGTGGCACCTGTGCTCCAGGATGCAGCAGCTAATGCCTTTCTTAGGAGCAAAGGGGGCTGCGGGGGTGGCGGGGGAGGGAAGTGGGAGCTGACCCAGGCCTCACACATCTGCTGCCTACCTCTGCACGGTTGGGTTTGCCAAGCTCAGCCACATCTGCTGTCTTGCTCCTCCATATGGGTAATATCTGGGGCACCACTTTCTGCCAGAAAACTCATCCATGCCCCTCTTGTCTGACCCGCCTGTGGGCAGCTGAATAGGGTCCCACCGTGAGTCCCAGGATGGATGGGGGCCCAGCACAGAGTAAGGTCTGGCCACGGGCTTGTGCCCATAGTTACAGAGAAACATCAGTACTTTGGATGGGTTCCAAAGTCTCTTTCACACAGGAAGTGAGAACTCGGGAAAGACAACAACAGCCTACAGCTCCCCAAAGACCAAGGACCAGATGAGGCTGACGGAATGGTGTGGACACAAAGTGAGTCATCTCCCTGTTGGCGCGGCACCAATGCAGAAGGCCCGCCTCGTGCCATGGCTGGCCGTGCATGGAGGGTCAACTCCCTCGGGCCAACGGGTGTGACTCCAAGAGAGGTCCCTGTGTGGGGGTGAGCTGTCCCCCTCACAGCAGGCTAGCCAAAGCCATCGGCATGTGACTGTTCTTTCCTGGGGAGGTTTTGAAGGGCTGACTGGATGTTTTTCATAGTGAAGGATACCAGAGGGCCAAAAACAGAACTATCTGGGGTGCAGCCGCCCTACCCTGGGAGAGAAGATTTGGCTTCCAGAATTCTGGACACAGACCATGTGCCCAGGGGCTCTCCTGCATCTACTAAGTTTTCCTCTGGGGAAGGACGGATGATGAAGAGGAGAAGGGCCATCCTTTAAAAGCACACCTGGGAAGTTCTCTGGCAATCCAGTGAGGAGACTGGGGAGGGGAGTGTTTTCCAAAGTGTGGCAGACACACCCCCGAGAGTGCATGCAGATGATTCTGGGGGGTACTCAAAAGGAACTTTTACATGTTACTAGTTTCATCTTTATTTTAATGTTGTGCCAAAAAAAAAAAAAAAAATCGAACTAGCATGTGATTTCACGCTTGTGATTTCACCGGTATCATTCCTTGTGATAGTGTTTCTCATCCTCAACACTGGCGACATTTTAGGCCAGACCACTCTCCGCTGTGGGGGGCGGGGGGGCTGGCCTGTGCAGTGTACAACAGCCAGCCCCATCCCTGGGGCCCACCCACCCGATGCCAGGAGTAAGCTCCCCACCCCAAGGTGAGAGAACCAAAAATGTCTTCAGATACAGCCAAATGTCCTCCAGAGATCCAAGAGAGCCTTGACTGGGAACCATGAGCTTAGGATGAGCCCACTTATGACAGTTAAGTAAACTGATTTAAAGAAAATCTATTTTTAGGTGACTTGGAACAAGTGTGATTCCCTTAAGGCTAACATGGCTAAGGGGGTAGGTGAGCGGCAGGAGTTTGGATAGAAGCAGACCAGAGGATGGCCAAACAGGGGGACGGGCCTGGGTCCTCATCCCCCTTCAAAGCCACGCCCACTGCTCTTTCCTGCCCGCTCTCCTGTCTGGTCATCCCTGTAGCCGACCTAACGAAATGTGCGTGCAGGGGACAATGACAAGGTGGAAGACTCCCCTTTCCCCACCATGTGTGGCCTTCCTGAGCAAGGACGGAGAAGCACGGTGGGTTTGCTCATTCCCCTTGGGTAGACTGAGGCAGAGACGCTGGTGAGAAGACAAGGACCCATGGAGGAGGCTGGAGAGTAAGACAGCAGGTGGTCCTTGCTAGAGAACTCCAGAAACAGCCACAGAGCTGCCCTTCCGCCTTGAGGTGTTCACACAGGCTTGCCTGTCCCAGACACTCAAATGCTGTTAGCTGTGGGGTTCTGGATGGGCTCTGGATGGGCTCCATCCTGTCTCCTCTCTTTACTGTGTGACCAACGTTGGGGCCCCAGGAAATGATTGATCCAAAGATACCTCCCCTTCAAGCCCAGGCGGACAGGCAACTGTCTGTTGGGTTCAAAAGCTATACCCCACCAGCACTTACGACTTTACAGATACCGGTTTCTGCTGTTCTCACCACAACCCTCCGAGGCGGGCACTACCCTCATGGTAATATTCCAGATGCGAAAAGGGAGGCTGAGACGCTAGGTCGCCTTTCAGGGCCGGAAGATGGGTATGCAGATGCCCAGGTACACACGTGCGTGCACACACACACACACAATCAGCTCGTGTGTGTACCCACCTGTGTATGTGGGCATACATTCCAGCGGGCAGGGGGATGGCTGAATGTGCCCGTCCAGTCTCTCTGAGTCAAGGAGCCCAGAGGGTGTACCAAGCCTCCTGGAGAGCTGGTGCAGAGATAAGTGACAAAGGCCATGGGAAGGTACTGACCTGGGTCTCCAGGGTGATCGGGGGACTTGGATGAGGGTCCTGTGGGAAGAGAGGAGAAAACACACGTAAGCGATGGGGAAAATGGAACCTACCAACCCAGCATCATTTTCTAACACAGCGAGATCTCTTCCATGGTTTACAGTCTCCCCCATTCCATGACTCATGAGAAGAGCTTGGCCCATCCCCAGTCTCTTCTCAACTTCCTTCCACACCCCAATGATTAAGGAGGCTCAAGTTTTTCATGCAAAATGATCAAGTGTAAGGAAAGAGGAAAGAAAGTACACTCATCGATTATCTCCAAGTGTGTTAAAACCCTCTACACAAAGGACAGGATGGATCCGTAAGAGGATGAGAAATAAACCTGAAAGAATACAGAGTCCCGATTAGGGGCAAGGCCACCGATTTGTGTCTGGTCTTGGAAAAAATGAGGGAAGGAAAATAGAGACAGAAAAAGAAGAGCTTAATTCCTAGTTTTCTAGCACATTCCAATGGGCTGGGGAAGAGCCTTTTTAGGATAGAGAAGGCCAGAGAAAATTCCTATTCGTTCACTCTCTACAAAAGCCAATTGACTGGAAATGCTTGGTGGTAATGTCGTGGGTCATTAAACATGAACTCTTTAGGTGGGGGGGCAGGGTGGATAGAGAGGAGGGAGGGACGGGTGGGGAGGAGGTAGTGGTTTTCAGCAAGTGGTTTCCAAGGAAAACAGGAAACTCAGCACATAAAGGCTACTTTTGTCGGCACTCTGTCAGCTCTGAACTTAGCCACCTTAGATTCATGATTCTGGGAAAGCAACCTCAAGCTGCCTCTTCCAGAGAATGGGCATGATTTTAGGGCCCGGAGGTGCAAGCTCAGTTTGGAAGCTTTGCTTTGTGCAAGCCGATTTCCCAACGTGGGCTTCTAGGAAGCCATGCAAGTGAGCACCCCCTGGCCTACAGGGTGAATAAGAAGGAAGTGTAGGAATCACGCTGTATTTGTCCTTCTATGATCTGACTTATTTCACTCAGCATAATGTCCTCAAGGTTCATCCACGTTGTCACAGATGGCAGGATTCCCTTCTTTTTTAAGGCTGAATAACATTCCATTGTATGCACAGACCACATCTTCTTGATCCATTCATCCATCAACGGACATGTAGGTTGTTTCTGTATCTTGGCTTTGTATGGCTTCAATGAACATGGGAGGGCAAATGTCATGATTCCACTTACATGAAGAATCTAAAATCATCAAATTCATGGAAGCAGCGGGTGGAAGGGTGACTGCCGGGGGCTGGGGGAGAGGGAATGGGGCTTTACTAGTCAACAGGTGCAAAGTTTCAGTCACCCAGGATGAATCAACTCTAGAGTTCAGGTGTCTGACACTGTAGCTATAGTTAACAACCCTGTATGGTACACACAAAATTTTGTTAAGAGGGTAGATCTCACGTTAAGTGTTCTTACCACATTAAAAAAAAAAAAAAAAAAGGAAGTTAGCAAAATTGGAACATTTTAAACCCCTACCCTAGGTGAATAGTCAACTCACTTTCTTGATGACTCCTCTGTGGTATCTTCATAATGATGCTGAAGTCATTCTGAGCTCAAGATGAGGGGTTCCTCTCCCCCGATTCCAGTTCTGAATCTAGTTCCTAGCAGTTCTCCAATGGTACAGCTCAAAACTTACTCCCAGGAGAATATCTAATTCTAATTTTCACACTCAGACATGGAATATTCCTCACACCCAGGAAGATGGGGAGGGGAACCCTCCTCCCCCTCTCTGGACATTGCAGCCTTGGCCCATAAAGGAACTTGGAGAAGTCTTGAAAATATTTTAGGCTTCTCTCTTCAAACCCTAACTAGCTTCTTCCCAAGGGTGAAGAAGTGAGAGCCATATAGGTGAGAACCTTCACTGCGCCGTTCGAGTGAGCTGGCTCATTGTTTTAGCCATTCTTCATGGAGCCCACTCTAGCCAGCCTCTTCATCCTCACATGCAGGGAGGGAGAGTCAATCAACCCTGTTCTTCCAGCTTCCCTGTGACAAGCAAGCATACTGGACGGGGCCCACTTTTGTCTTTGGGAGGCAAGGCTGTCCTCCTGGTCTGGGAGGTCTTCAGCTCTGAGTCAGTCTGTGTGTCTTTCTGGCCATTCAGATTCATCTAGATTCGGCCAGAAGATAAGAAGTTTCCTCTCGCACTCAAACATTAGCCTCATTCTCAAAGCCAGGTCCTAGTGGAGCACTGCACTGGGGTGTTGGGTGCGCGCCCAGATTAATTAAGCTGTACTTCTTCACAGCCCGTTTGGCTATGGCTTAGGGTTTATGCTTCACTGCTCAGAACCCTAAAAGGGTAGAGAGGGGAGACTGCCATCCTGAACCCCTAAGAACAACTTCAAGGAAAAGACCATGTTTGGGAAACCACAGAAAACTCTCAACTGTGTTGACAAAACCCAGAGCCTGATCCCTAGATACGATAAAGCACCAACCCTTTATCTGGTATTCCAAGATCAGAAACCCTACTGGCACATAGTCAGGGGTCCAATCTTATCTATTTAGCACATTAATGACCTAGCCAGGAAGAAGACAGAGTACTCCAAGTGGTCATGTCGTTAACACTCGGGGCTCACTTGCCAACAAAATGTTGCTCCCCTCCCTCTGTGCGCATTCAAAATATAAGACTCTCCCTACCGAGGCTCCATCCAGAAGATTCCAGGTATGACTATATATCTGTGAGGTCTCACTTTCAGCAACATCCTCCCTAATTGGAAAGGCTAACGAAGTGGAACCGGGTCAATGATGCTGTCTGCCTAATCCATCGTGTCTGTCTAAACTGGGGCTCTTTGGTTTACAGTAGAGTAAATTCCTGTCTGTCAGGGGAAAGGCTCCTGGAGACCAAAGGGGAATTTGCAACATGCTCCGATGCTACAGTGGAGTGCTTTTGGAATCTTAATGCAGGTACCGGGAGCTACGAACTGCCTTAAGCAAGGAAAGCTCTTTCATATCACCTATTGCAATGATTCAATTGGGGAAGTCAAATGGGGAACTGGGTAGACTGATTTAATGGCCTGCATTCTTCACCACTCCCTATAGTCATGCCCTCTGGTCACATGACTTTGCATTTCTTTGCAGAGTGTTCTTCCCCATCCCTTGACCTTGGGCTTGCCCATTTGATTTGCTTTGTCCAAGGGAAGCTTAGCAAATAGGACATAAGCAGAAGCTTAAAATATGCTTGTGGGATTGAGTGGGATCTCTTGTGCTTTTGCCATCACCGCAAGAAGAACATGCTCCGGGTAACCCTGTTGGTCCAAGGAAAAGGAGACACACATGGAACAGAACTATACCCAACCTGCAGCTTGAAGCCCAGCCCAGCCTTGATCAGCCAACCTTCAGACACATACAGGATATATGCTTGTTGTTTCAAGCCATTGAGTTTCAGGGTGATTTATTATACAGCCATCACTGTGGTAGTAACTAACTGATACACTTTCTAAAGATGGACCTTGATAGAACCCCAACATGACGTACAAACCCTCCAGCCTTGGAAACATAAGGATTCATACTCTCCCTTGGTCTGCCAATAAACCCCCTGAACCTGAAATAACTACAGCTCGTAACTCTGATCTAGGACCTACTATGTGCCACACTCCACGTGAACTGTACATTCTGCCAAGCAAGGAAAAAACTCAACCACTAAGACCTTATACTATATATGAGTTAGCTTTCACCCCTCTTCGCCCAATGTACCGGTCCTTCTGAATTTATTTAAATGCCATCACAGCAACGTTAACAGAAATGATTGCTCAGAGTCCTCTCGCCTGGAGATAAAGACAGTGTTCATTGCTCTGTTTCTTTTTTTTTTTTTTAAAGATTTTTATTTATTTTGAGAGTGAGAATGAGAGAGAGAGACAGTACATGAGAGGGGGGAGGGTTAGAGGGAGAAGCAGGCTCCTTGCTGAGCAGGGAGCCCGATGTGGGACTCGATCTCGGGACTCCGGGATCATGACCCGAACCGAAGGCAGTCGCTTAACCAACTGAGCCACCCAGGTGCCCTCATTCCTCTGTTTCATTCTCAACTTTATCCCATGGGCATATTACTTGACCAAGGTTTGGAACAGTCATGAATAGTAGTAATACCGAGTAACTTACTATGTTACTAATTAAGTGATGGCTAATGACGTAAGTTCTTACCATGTTCCAGGCACAGGCTTCACGTCTATACATGTAGCATTCCTTTGACCCCTTGTAACAACCCTGTGAGGTAGATACTGCCACTATTCTCTTTATAGAAACGGGGAAACTGAGGACCAGAGAGATTGAGTAACCTGTCCAAGGTTGCACAGATAGTGCTGAAGCCTGGATTGGACCCCAGTGCCCTGCACTTGAGACGCCTGCTATTTTACAGTAGCCCTACTGGAGAGCACAAGTCTACCCCAAACAAAGTAATCCTGCACCCCGGACAGTGTCTACTACAAGGAAGAACACTCACAGCAAATCAGCAGGAGCACCTTAACCACGAGAATCCTTTTATAAAAAGGTAGTGGACATGGCTGATAGAAATTACCACACGGGCCCTGACTAAAAACAAAACACAGCCACCTCACCACAGCAGGGAACCAAATCCATCCACACCTATTAATGAGTTCCCACTCAGTCGCTAGCACTATGCCTGATGAGCACCAGGAGGGGGCCAGAAAGGACTTTAAAGTGACTCTGTGCACACTCCTATTCCCAAAGCTAACTGTTTAAATAAAAGGCGGGACTCTGATTATAGATTCCAGAGAAATGAAACTTGTTGGCACCTCATGAGTCTTGCTCATAAGACCAGGAAGCCAGGCTCAAATACTTTTGAGCCCATCGAGGCCAAAAGCCTGATTTTTAACAAGCAATGAGGCTTTCGTAAAGAAAAGAGAGCGAGGATGAGGAATTTCATTATCGTTCCATGCATGAATCAAACATTTCTGGCTCCCCTGGTTGGTGCTGAGCGCTGAGCCCTGAGCCTGGCCTCAGCCATTGAAAGGGGTGTTCTCTTCCTGAGCTTTGAAGATCTCATATGATAGTGTTTGCTCTTGGGTG